CAGGAAGTCGGACGACCGCAGACCGGCCATGAAAGCCGTAAGGATGACCTTATCATCGTTTTCCGCCACCTGCAAGGCTTCGGTGTTAAAGCGGGTAACGAAACTACGTAGGGACTCCCCCTCGGTCTGGTGGATGTTGAGGAGTTGGGTTGACGGACGGCGCTGGCGCTGGGCTCCAATGAAATGACTGAGGAAGAAGTCACTGAGATGCTGGAAAGTGGAGACGGAGTCTGCTAGTAACTGGCTAAACCACAGCCGAGCTGACCCCTTCAATGTCACAGGGAAAGCTCGACACATGATCTCGTCAGGGAATGCATGGAGGATCATGAGGGTTCTGTAGGTCTCCAGATGGTCGACTGGGTCCGTCGTGCCGTCAAAAGAGTCGATGGTAGGCATTTTGAACTTGGGGGGTAGAGGTTTGTCCCTAATGGAGGCAACAAATTGTGAGTTTACTGTGGTAGAGGGTTTATGCTGGATGTTCTGCATGACCCCTTGGAGTTGGAGCTTCATGGCTCGGAGTTCTGCATCCCAGAGAGGGATATTATCACCACCGGAAGCGAGCGGGGATTGGACGCTACTGGCTTCCCCCTCAGGGGTTGGTGCCAGGACCGATGGATGCGGGGGTCGAGGTGGTGGATTTATATGAGGAGGAGGAGGTTGCAGGCCTTCCAAGTTGGGTGGATAGGGCTGCGAGATAGTGTGGCTCAAAGCTCGTTCTTGGTTGGGCGGAATATCTGGAGGTGGTGGAGGAGGCATAGGAAGGTCCCTTTGGAGTAGAGCGTTTATCAGGGCTTGGTTTTGCTCGGCCATGCAGTTGATGCTGTTGGTAAGCTCGATGAAATACTGTGGTGGGTTGTTTGGATTGGGGGGTCGGCTTGATGGTCGGCAGCATTTTGGTGAGAAGCCATGGATCTAGTCGTGACCATACACGTTGATGGGTAGCAGGAAAGGTTATTGAAACAGGGTCCCCGGGACAATGAGCACAACTGGCGTGCGGAGCAAAGCGTTCCCAATAGACGACGCCAACTGATGATACAGTTACGATACAATGGGTTCCAGAGGGAATGGGTCGGACTGGTCCACGCTTCTCCAACCGATATCTGAATGGCCAACCCACCTGAGAACCTGCAAGGAGTTCAACGAGGAACGGGGAGTCCCCCAGCGAACCCTCCAACGAGCAAGTAGAGAGAGAGAAATGGAATTAGAGATATGAATTAGAGATAGAAAGCTTAACCTTCTTCTTGTCTTCAACGTCTGCTTATATCCTTTGGTAATCTTTCATTGTCCCTTCCGACCTGTCACCTTGGCAAACGTCTATGCTGTAGCTTACCTTGTTCAGGATGAGGGCGTGCTGTCCCGACGGAGAGGTATGTCGTAATAAATGCTGTGAGGGACTGCATCAATGCGATGTGCAGTGGCAATTAACTTTGCAGATCTTTGTCTGCTGATGTGGCTTGCCCTTTGCCTGCCGCGTGCTTGGGTATTATTGGTCCTTCGTGTCATGTTGGTTTACAGCTGTTCTGGACCTCTCAATTGGGTTGTGTATTGGGCTCTAAGTGATGGGCTTGGGTTGTTCGTAGTGGCTATGGCTTTATGGGTCTAACCACGTCAGCTTTTATATGGAATAAAAATAATATTTTATGTGGAAGGTCTATAGTATAAATATAGACTATTTGTATACGGTCCGGATCGGTTCAATCCGGAACTGTGGGTTCAATCGGACCGATCCGTGGACTACGAATTTTTAAATTTTCAATCCGGAATCGAACTACGAATTCAAAAAACTAATCCAAACCTACGGATTGTACTAAACCGGATCATATTACGGATTATATGGATTTTTTACTCAGCCCTAATAATGCTCATTTTTTTTTATCCTTATAAAGTGAATATTTTATACAACATACTTATAAAACTTTTATAAAATGTTATAAAATAAAGGAGTCAATTTTTAATTGTAGAGGGATTTCTGCGTTCGTTACTGTATGTTATGATTATTGGGTATTTTTTGAAACACAATTATATGATGTTTCATAATATTATGATTGGGACAGAAAGTAGATATTATAATTTTATATTGAGTAATTGAAAATATAAAGAAACATAATAATAATTATTGGTAAAAGAATATATAACAGTAATAATCTGGAACTACTAAATAATTTTGTGATAACCCTGTTCGTTTTGTGCTAATTGGTCCTTAATATGAATATGTTATGTGTTTAATGTGATTTTATGTCCATTATGTGAAAAATATCACTACTAGAAATATGATCTTTTGTGTCTATTTTTTTACGACCGATGTTTGACCGTCGCAAAAAAGTGCTTTTTATATCCAAATCTCGTTCTAATTAACACGCAGTCGTTTCTTTATAAAAAAAAAAATCATCCTAATCGGGTACAACTTGCCCTATCCCCAAATCGGTATGAACTCTCTCTCTCTCAAATTCTCACTCTTCACTCTCTCTCGCTCTACTCTCTCTTTCAACTCACCACACTCCAATTTTATTGTTCATTTGAAGATGTCGATCAATTGTTGATGAATTTTGCAGATTTTGATCGATCTGTTGATGAGATTTTGAAGATTTCAATCTTGCTGTTTCGATGAAATTTCGATTGATTCAATGATCGCGTAAGTCTAATTTTTATTATGCATCTAACTCTGTCTCTGTAATCCCTATATACTTTTTCTCAGCTCCTAAATTTCTGTTTCGGCTTTTCGCGAAGATCCAACATCAGTTTTACAAGAAGTGGATTTCGAAATCAACATGAATTTTTTCAATTCAATTTGTTTTATCCATGCATGCGGTGCAAACTCTGATTTGGAAATAGGTTTTTGATTTGAAAATTCATTTTATTTTTTTAATTATTAAATCTCGATTTTCTTTGGCTTTTAAATGTGGTTGAGTCTGCAAAATCATAAGTTCACAAGTAAATATTGTACTTCTTATATACCTTTTTGATGTAGGTATTCTTGGTGAAATATCTTTGACATGTATTTAAGAAGCTAAGCACACCTTATTTTTCATATCGCCTTCTTATGTTAAAATTCAGTACAAAACAACATTATTTCCTTCTCCTTTTACATTTACTAATCTGGATGCACTTCTTAACTTAATGAATCACCTTCTTATGGCCCTCTAAGGCTTGAGATTAGCTAAAATTAAATGGGAAAAACTTCAAAAATTGGCGTGATCTTAAGGTGGGGCCTATTGAACTTCACATAGCCAAGTTCTAATGTTAGTAAAGTCCTATATTTGTAGTTACCTAAGCTTTTGATCAGTTTTATGTATGTTCTCCTATGATATATTTGTAAGGCTATTTTGGTATTTTTAAAATTTTTGATGGACATGGATTGTAGTGATTCCTCATGGTTGTAGTTTGAGTTTATTCTTGTTATTGGGTCTTCATATAGGGTCTATACTTTCCTGGATGTCTTTTAAAATTCAAATTCTTCAATTTCTAATTTTCGAGTTGGAGTCGGTCCTTCAAGAGTTAGGGTGTCTAAATTCTTCCAATTCAACAGACAGCAAGTTGGAGACGATTTGCTTTTCTGTTTGAATTTTTAACAATTGTACTCTTTGTCCTTAGGTGTATTGCACAAGGAATGCAGGAGTGATTCCTCGATGACTTTTCTTATTCTACTCAATTAACTGTCAAAATGAGACCTTGTCAACCATTTTCTCCTCATCCTTAAAACCCTGTTGGTAAGGCCTAACAACTGCCTACCTCATATACTCGTTATGTACGAAAGGACCCAACACGAGTACTGTTCACACAGCCCCTGAGCTTGCATTACAAAGCCTAAACCCCCATATCTCATCTACTGTCACGACCCAAACCCGGCCCTATGGGTTTAAGCACCGTAACCGGCCAGTAATCTGAGATTACCGAAGGCCTGCCTAACAGTAATCCAGTAAAACAGAGTACAGGGCCTGGCGGAAGCCAATACAGTAAATAAACAATGTCCAATGCGCTGTGACAGTCTACGCATACAAGTACAATCATTCGGAACAGGGATCTAATCCCTATTAAACAGTACAGTAATAATCTATACAGTCTATACAGTAAACAAAACAGTTACAGAGACAGACGAGGAATATTAAAACACCCCAAAGCCGAAGCTTGAACGGCCTGAAACCTCACGGTGAGGCACAGTGGTTGGCTGACAAAACAAAAGCTAGCCTGACGCTCCTAGTAGCGGTCCGGTGCCTGAACACCTACATATATATATGAGCAGTGAGCTAAAGCCCAGTGAATAACATAATGCGTAAAGAGGTTTAGGATGAATGTCTTTTCAATATTTAAAACAGTCCATTGATTCAGTATATCGGTCAGTCAGTTTGTGGCTCATATTTGATGCCGTAACAGTCATTTAGAAATCATAGTAATCGTACGTGGCACATCCGTTAGCAGTACTAGTAGCAGTGTCCGTACAGTAGCAGTAACAGTAACGGTACAGTAACAGTACAGTAGCAGTAACAGTAACAGTACAGTAACAGTACAGTAGCAGTAACAGTAACAGTACAGTAACAGTACAGTAGCAGTAACAGTAACAGTAACATTTCAGAAAACAGTACAGTTCTTATGGACTCAAGAGGTGTCTCGCACAGATTCTAGAGGTGGCTCACTCTGTAGCACTTAGTTCCGTGCAACACTTTGTTCCAAGTTTCACAGATTATAACAGTCAAATGTGGTACATCCAGTAGCTAAACAGTACAGTAGGTCTTAATAGACCGGGTCTTAATGGACCAAACAGTGAATGATGGCCATCAATAAGTAAACAGTAGTGGTTCCACGGGGGAACCGACAGAGATCTCTGTAACAGTAACAGTAAACAGTAGGTGCTAAGGATGCCACAATACAGTTCAGAATATAGGACATACATTCATTCAGTTAACAGTAATCAGTTCAGAAAGCAGTACAGTTCAATTGTTCAGAAGATAATCATTTTGAACATATCTTTACACAGATGTTACTCACAGAGTTCTGGGCTTTCTCTCGCTCTACTCTCTCTTTCAACTCACCACTCCAATTTTATTGTTCATTTGAAGATGTCGATCAATTGTTGATGAATATTTGCAGGTTTTGATCGATCGTTGATGAAGATTTGAAGATTTCAATCTGCTGTTGATGAAGATTTCGATTGATTCATGATCGGTAAGTCTAATTTTTATGTATGCATCGAACTCTGTCTCTGTAATCCCTATATCTTTTTCTCAGCTCCCAAATTCTCTTTGGCTTTTCGCGAAGATCAACATCAGTTCAGAGGAATTGGATTTCGAAATCAACATGAATTTTTTCCAATTCAATTTAGTTTTATCCATGCGGTGCAAACTCTGATTTGGAAATAGGTTTTTGATTTGAAAATTCATTTTATTTTTTTAATTATTAAATCTCGATTTTCTTTGGCTTTTAAATGTGGTTGAGTCTGCAAAATCATAAGTTCACAAGTAAATATTGTACTTCTTATATACCTTTTTGATGTAGGTATTCTTGGTGAAATATCTTTGACATGTATTTAAGAAGCTAAACACACCTTATTTTTCATATCACTTTCTTATGTTAAAATTCAGTACAGAACAACATTATTTCCTTCTCCTTTTACATTTACTAATCTGGATGCACTTCTTAACTTAATGAATCACCTTCTTATGGTCCTCTAAGGCTTGAGATTAGCTAAAATTAAATGGGAGAAACTTCAAAAATTGGCGTGATCTTAAGGTGGGGCCTATTGAACTTCACATAGCCAAGTTCTAATGTTAGTAAAGTCCTATATTTGTAGTTACCTAAGCTTTTGATCAGTTTTATGTATGTTCTCCTATGATATATTTGTAAGGCTATTTTGGCATTTTTAAAATTTTTGATGGACATGGATTGTAGTGATTCCTCATGGTTGTAGTTTGAGTTTATTCTTGTTATTGGGTCTTCATATAGGGTCTATACTTTCCTGGATGTCTTTTAAAATTCAAATTCTTCAATTTCTAATTTTCGAGTTGGAGTCGGTCCTTTAAGAGTTGGGGTGTCTAAATTCTTCCAATTCAACAGACAGCAAGTTGGAGACGATTTGCTTTTCTGTTTGAATTTTTAACAATTGTACTCTTTGTCCTGTGCTACAACTCTAACCGTAGGTGTATTGCACAAGGAATGAAGGAGTGATTCCTCGATGACTTTTCTTATTCTACTCAATTAACTGTCAAAATGAGACCTTGTCAACCCTTTTCTCCTCATCCTTAAAACCCTGTTGGTAAGGCCTGACGACTGCCTACCTCATATACTCGTTATGTACGAAAGGATTCAACACGGGTACTGTTCACACAGCCCCTGAGCTTGCATTACAAAGCCTAAACCCCCATATCTCATCTACCTTCTAGCGACAAAAATTGAAAACTAGCAGTCTCAATGTCCCCTTAACAGCTTCTCTACGTCATCTGTTGTAACATTGCTTGTACAAGAGGGCTCAGCCCAGCACTTGTAACATTTTTCTTAAGGTAACAATATAAAACAAGTTTTAGTGTTTGACTTTGATACACTGTTTGACATAAAAATACGCTAAATATGCTAACAGAAGAACATGAGATTAGTTTTTTGACATTGGAAGAAAGGAAAAAGTTATATACTCTTGTTATGTAGGTTGCTGCTATTATTGTTTTTTTGTAATCAAATCTCAAACTAGCATTAATGCCCCTTCCCTTCAAAGTGTAAACTGAACCAAGCAGGTTGAGGCATTAAGATTGTCTTAATTATAAGTAGTTCTATCTGGCTTGTTAATGGTTCCTTTGATCATGCTGCAAAGCTCAAATGACCAAGCCCGAGGACCTTTTTTGTTTTGTTTTGTATGTTCTATAAGGCTAGCTCAAACAAACTATTGGTTATTCAGTTCAAATATGTATTGGTTATTAATTATGTTTGGTTATTCTTAGACATAATTTCCTATCTTATGGCTTATGCATTGTATAAGGTTTGAAATTCAGATGAGCCATATGCCTATGAAACATGAATGCACCCTACAGTTAATGATAGTTGTAGATATCCTGTCAAGGCTTGAGGTTCTGTCAAGCTTGAAGAATCCTTAAATTATGTTAAGGAGTGCCTAGATAACAGCCTTTACTTGCCATAGCTTGGTTTGTCTTGTGTACATACTTGATTTGCGGAGTACAGAACGTCACTCTTCTACGTGAAATTTCATTAATGCTTCTCTGTGGATATCTGTTTGTTTATGTTATTCTTCTTTCTCATTTTAAACCTTGATATCAATAATGGATATAAAATTCTTAATTCAATCATTCAATTCAGTCAATCACCAAAAAAGATAAACAAATAAATAAATCTCTAGCCTAGTGGTTGGCTGGATTTTAACAAAGGATTTCAATTTGAGTTATATAATTATTTATTAACTAACATAAAAATCATATGCATTGTTTAGCAAATGACATGTCCAAACCTGTACTTGGATGAACACTGCTACTTAATAATTTGAGTTATATAATTATTTATTTATTTATTTAATTTAAATTTACTCTTTGACATGGACCAACTGGATTTGTGACAAGGGTAAGCATATTCATCACGTAACAAAAATTATAGGGGTAAAGTAAAGAATCTTAACCAAAGCATATTCTTGTTATTGGGTTTCAACCCTTCGTATTTGGGGAAGTTCACTTTTTCTAGCAGTTTGTGGCTTCAGAGTAAGAAGAGAATCAAGTTTTTGGTGAATATTTTCAAATTTTTGATGTTGTTCCATGTAAAGTTGTATTGAATATGGACATGATAATATTAACCTCTTGTTTTCCTGAGAATTATTTTAGCCATGGCCCCAATTGGTATGATGCACTTTAAGAATAGCTTTGTGACTACCCAAAGGAGATTAGGGTTTTGCCTTAAAGCTTTCGCTACTTAAGCACTTTATAGCACTGCTGACTTTGAGACTGTTAGGGATATCAAAGAGAACCTTTGCTACTTAAGGTAAAGAAATAACATTATAGTTTGGTATGCTTTTTTGGGATTTGTTTCATTACAATTTATTAGATCTGTTTTCCTGTAGTTATGATTACAAAAGGGAATATCAATTGGGACTTGAGACTACCATCCTTGTTAAGAATTATACTGTAAGTTTATTCTCTTATCTATCTGTGTAATTATATAGAATCTTCCAGGAATTGTTCAACATTGTATGTTGTTTGACGAGTTTCATTCATCTCTATTTGCCTATTTTTTATTATAGTACGTAGTTGTTCTGAAAATTTCAATTCTTGAAGGTCATATTTGAATTCTACTAACAGTCTATGTTAATATATAAAGTTTCCATTAGGAAAGATTATCAGATGTTGCCTAATCAACTTGGTATGCTCTGATAAAAAATCTTTTTTAATTGATGGTTGGTTGATCATCATGATGATAGCTGCTTCTTTTCTTTTCTTTTTTCTTCTTTTTTTGTTGAATTAGAAAGGAAGTTACATTGAAGTAAAAAAAAAAAAAGGGGGTTCATACGAGGAACTATTTTACGATAAGAAAGGAACCTAATATGTCAGATAATAAAAGAGGATACAAACTTAACAATAAAATTAGCTTCTCTGTGGACACATACGCCCTGGAAATTACTCGTTAGTTGTAGGCACTCGTTCAAACAAAATTTGGTTTGTTTAGTTATTGGTTGTCCGCTTGGAAAGTTGTGTAGTATTTTCCATGATTAGAATTCAATAATTAAGCATTAGGTGTTAGCTTGAATAGTCCAAATTTCATCTGTATTGTTACTTGTACCAATGGGACATTCGAAAGCTTATATGCAGTGATAATTTGATTTTTTCTGTGATATTTTTGTGAGATGATTAAATGATTAACTCTTTTCAAACTAGTATTGATTCTAAGAACAATTCTGAACCTCTTTGTACCGCTGTTGGAAAAAGTTTTGGCATCCAAGTTAGTCAATTAATGTATTCTTTGTATCCATTTTTGTTTTGGCATCCAAGTTAGTCAACTAATATATTGATGTATATTTTTGCAGGTAGTGTTAAGGGAGTAGTTGATATGATTGGGTGGGTGATATTGAGAGCTAAATTCAGATTATTATTATTTTATTTTATTTGGAGTACTTGAATCTATTAGTATTTTGTATAAATACTTTTAAGGATGGTTGATGGATATTTGTTTTGCATGTATAGAAGTTTATATTTTGTATGCACATTTTTTTTTTTTTTTTTTGAAGAAAGATAATTTTGTTGAGGGAAGTGATGGAAAATAATACAGGTGTATTAGAATTTTTACAAATATCACTTTACATTTATTGTATATAATATTTGAGTATATATATATAAGAATATAGGTTGCTAAAACATTGTAGGTATTTTATTTATTTAGTTATTTATATTTTTTTTTGCAACTGTAACAAGATGGTCACTAATACATTGTAGGTATTTTTTTAATTTTTTTGCGATGGCAAAACATTAGTCGCTATAAGTAGATTAGGTGGTCGCAAATAGTTTGCGACTGCTATTTTGCGGTCGCAAAAAGTATTTGCCACCCCCACATTCGCAACCCCTATTTGCCGTCGCATGGGTCGTCGCAAAAGGTTTTTTGCGACTGTTTTTTTATTATTTGCGACGGCTTGTAACAGTTGCAAAAAGTACTTTTTTTAGTAGTGTATGTGGCTTTGAACTTCTATCTGTTCACCGTAGGAATATCTGTTTGATGGTCTGCTTTGGAAATTAAATTGAAGGCCTTATCGGCCACAGACACCGAATTTGATTACGCCATAGTGATTGGCATAATTTTTAGAGCCTACGGTGAAGTTTAATTGAAAAATGGATTCGGACCAGATTAAATTGATGAAATTGTTGAATTAGTGCCCAATTATTTATTATTATTAAATTGAAATAGTGGGATTTGTTGTATAAGGGCACTACACCCTTAATTCTCCTTCTTTGTTGCATTTTGGCTGATCTTGAGCTCTAAATAGAGAGAGGGCCGGCTAGAGAGAGGGAGAGAGAAACAATTGAAGATTTGCTCAAGAAGCTTGAATAAATTGAAGGCTAGCTCAAGAATTAACCTTAATTTGGAGGATTAAAACTCCTAGGTGTGTAAATTCATGAGTTTGAACTTGTAATTTGTGAATTAAAGATTAATTGGTGATCAAGAACAAGAGTTGTGCTTTAATTGATGAATTTGAAGTTAAAATGCACATGCATGTATAGGATCACCATGATTTTGCATAATCAAGCATGTATTAAGTTGAATATGGAAAAATGAGTGTTAAATCATACATGCAAGTATGTTTTTGTTGAGTTTCATAAGAGTGAACACCATTTGCATCATCTAGGCTGTGAATAAGGGTAATACATCACATGCATGTATAAATTATAAGAATAGGAGCTTTGAATGCATGAATTTGCATGTTGAAAATGAGTTTGGTGTCAATTGGGACATGCATGTGTTTGATTTATGAAATTGAGCTCCATATTGATGTAGATGGGTGTTTGTATCATGATAGTATAAATATATTTGAAGTTTGAGCCAAAAATTATGAGTTTGGAACCTTTGGAGGTCGAATTGAGCTCAAGAACAAATTCTGGAAAACCCAGAATTCTTGATGTCCGCTCGAGCGGGGAAACCGCCACTCGAGCGTGAAATACGAGCTCCCAGAATATTTTGTAGACATGGCTTCCGCTCGAGCGGGGAAGTTCACGCACGAGCGGGGAGCTATGTAGACAGATTTTCAGCTCGAGCGGCCGAGTTCGCGCTCGAGTGTGAAATTGATATAACCAGCACTTTTGCAGACCTCATGGGTCTGCTCGAGCGGGGAAATCCACGCTCGAGCGGGGACCCTGTTTTTTGAAATTTTGAAAAGACATTCTGTGTTTCGTTTTCTATTCTCTTTCACTTCTAAGTACTCTTAGGCATACATTGAGCATTGTAATTGAGTTAAAGAGATAAGAATGAAGCCTAAAGAGGAAATGTGAACTTAGAGCGGATTAAATTGTTTGTGACCCTTTTGTGTTCATGGAATGTGTAGGGTCGAGCTCCAGGGCAAACCAACCAACCGATCACTGTGAGTAATGTATTAACAAGATATTTGAGATATGTTATTGTCCAACTGTTTACTTCTACGTAAGTTTTGTAAGTTCATTAATTTGAATAGTGGACAACGATTGACATGAATGATTGGGCCGAAGACCGATTGATATAAATGATTGGGCCGAAGGCTGATTGACATAAATGATTGGGCCGAAGGCCGATTGACATGAATGATTGGGCCGAAGGCCGATTGATATGAATGATTGGGCCAAAGGCCGATTGACATAAATGATTGGGCCGAAGGCCGATTGACATGAATGATTGGGCCAAAGGCCGAATGACATGAATGATTGGGCCGAAGGCTGATTGACATAAATGATTGGGCCGAAGGCCGATTGATACAAGTGATTGGGCCAAAGGCCGTCTGCTGTAACTATTTTAAAGATTGCATATGTATCTTCCTTATTGATATTATTCACTGGGCTTTCGCTCATGCTCATTCATGTACATGTAGGTAAGCCAAGGGACGTCCAGAACCAGCCTCGGTGAAATTGTGAGAAACAGTCAAAGTTTTGAGGAGTCAGCCCAAACGTCTCACGCACGAGACTGTCTTCGCTTTTGTCCTTTGTTCATAGTTTTGTTATGTTAGCGAAAGCATTGGACTACTTTTGTATATAAGTCTTGGGTTCGACTGACTTAAACTTGTATGATCCTGTATGTACAATGTTTTGTGTTAGTACATATTTTGATGTGAGTTATTAATATATAAATGTTTGGAATGTTATGGTGTGCATATAAGCACAGCTCTATGGACAAAGTATTAAATTTTGCTTCTGTTTGGCCCCTTTACTCTGATGAGATTTGTTTTATTGGTTTGAGGCCATAGGTAATCTCATGATTACTAGCCGGTTATGGACTTAACCCATAGGGGCGGGTTCAGGTCGTGACAAATTTTCACATATGCTAGTAAGGAGTCCAGATCCTCTGCCGCATTTCTCTGCGGCAGTACCTGCGGGCCCCAAAACGACGCAAAATTTCATAAAAAACAAAGACACAAAAACACAGAAAAAAGGAAAGAAAAAAGTAGAGGAAGAGATAAAGGAGAAAGCAGCCTCAATTGAGCTTTTGAACCCTAACCCTTCTTCAAAGACCCCTTCCTCTCCCTCGCTTTGGTTGCCGCTCCATCGTCGTGGTTTTATCTTCCTTCACTGTTGAACAATTCTTTACCCACCACAACGACATCGCATTTGCCAACCGACCCAAGTCCCTCTCAAGCAAGCATCTCGGCTACAACGACACCACCATCGGATTCCACCCCTACGGCAATCTCTGGCACAACCTTCGTCGCGTCACCACCATCTAGATCTTCTCCTCCGCCAACCTCCACCACTCATCCGTTGTCCGAATCGAGGAAATTCAGTTTCTCGTCGGAAAGATGTTTTGAGCCTCCAGTGGGGAAACCCAGAAGGTGAATTTGAAATTTGTGTTCTGTAAGTTGGTTATGAATGTGATAATGAGGATCTCTGAAGATTGTGTTCAACATTTTTCATTATAAGATTGTGTTCTTCTCCTCTCTCTCTCTCTCTCTTCCTCTGCTTTCTTCTTCCCCTCTTTCTCTTCTCTGATTCTGTGTTTTTGCGTCTTTTTTCTTTTTGAAATGACCGCCGCAAGGACCGCCGCAGAGAAATACGGCAGAGGATCCGGACTCTGCTAATAAGAGCCTCCTCACTTGCTGAAGGTAATAATTTTCATCTAAAAACAGGACAAGTACTAGCCCTTGGATCTTTACATTTTACATCCTACAGCTAGCACACATACACTATTTGAATTAACAAACATTTAACACTGAGATCTCATTTGGAACCCAGTTTATAAGTTGTTTATTAATTTATTTGAATCACATCACCTCTCTATTATTTTGTACATCTTTTTGTAATAAGCAAAAAAATCAGCTCACAAGTTATACCCAAAACAATCCTAAGGAGGTTGGTGTATTGGGTTGAGTTGGCAGTCTTTCATTGCCATTTTAGGTGGATTGAGAAAATTAATATGCATTCGTCCACTTAGTTAACGGATGAATATTCAGTGAATCATGCAAATTGACAAATGGATGCAAATTAGTTTGATGGTTCTAGTTTTACTGTTTCAGGCATTTTTTTTGAATTATTTTTCAGTAATTATTTACTATTTTGATTCCAAATTTTTTTATTCATAATTGTTTATAATAAAAATAAAGACCCAACTTTCTTATTTCATAAATAGCAAATATATTTACTAAATAGAAGGTTCTTTTTTTAACACACAATGCATAAAAACACATTTTCTTTGAGGTATTGGCGAATCGGGTTGGATCGAGTAGCCTCTCATCTATTAGACGGATTGACAAAATTGCATCTGCATCCATTCTTTTGGACTATTAAAACAGTCCATTCTTTGACAAATTGATTTGAATCATACTTTTTTGACAGATTATTTGAACCATACTTTTTTGACAGATCAAATGAATATTTACCCAACCCTACTTAAAGCATAAAATTGAATCCTACTTTTTTTTTTCTTTCTTGCATGTACACTTTTAACACATATTTGAAGCTATTCCAAATATGGAGGGTCTTGGAGAATTTTCAACAGCTCCCTTAAAATTATAAAATTTTTATTTTCTTATAAACAATTTTTTGTTGTTCCACTGATATGTTGTTGTTACCCTTAAAATTTTCTATAAAATTTAGCTATTTTTTCATTTTAGGAATTATTTTTTCACAAAATTACTCCGACAATACTCCTTTCTTCGTGTACGAGCAAGAAATATTCTTTCTCGTATAATCGTGTTGATCAAGTCTGCGCTCCTCCGTACGACGTCGCTTTACTCCCTGAAAACACAAACGTGAGCTAGCCAACGGGTGTGTGCCAGATACCTCTCCGATGCCTAAGTCAGCGAAATAGAAAAATAAACAAAAAGCTCTGTATATTCAGGAATCAAAGTTGTGTTACCTCTCCATAGGTGATGTTATGAGTTTTTATTGGTTCTGTGTGGCACAATCCTAGTAGGACTCTTACTCCTCCATGTAGAGTCCTCCTAGGAATCACATTCCTGAAAGATAATGCTTATCCTTCAACATCCCCCTCACTGTTTAATCCAAGTGAGATGGTTTTACCATGGTTGGATGTCAATACGACTGAGATAACATGGCCACGCTAAAGTCGCAGACTAGACCAAGCTCCAACTAGCTCGGTTCTTCATTTCACTGCGCGTGTACCTCAATTGACATATTCCAACTAGATTGTCTGAAACCGTGCTATCCACAATGAGCTTGGACCGAGCTATCTAACAACAAGGTCCTAAACAGAAGCCAACAATACCTTGGCTCAAGATGGTTTGACCGAGCTAACTGCCACCGTGCCGACCGTGGTGACCGAGCTAACTGCAAGGTTCTGATGGATGATCACTCGAATCATCAGAGGCGAAACGGTTTGCTGTTGCCGGAGACCTGTTCGCACTTGACGGAGTTCCAACATCAATCAACATTCGTACATCATCACCAATATATTCGAACATCATCAATAGATTGATATATACGTAGATATACCAATAGATTCATATATTTATTTATATATATATATATATATTGCTGGGGAGAAGGGTTAGGGTTTGAGTTGTTTCACATACATGATGATGATGGATGATCACTCGAATCATCAGAGGCGAAACGGTTTGCTGTTGCCGGAGACCTGTTCGCACTTGACGGAGTTCCAACATCAATCAACATTCGTACATCATCACCAATATATTCGAACATCATCAATAGATTGATATATACGTAGATATACCAATAGATTCATATATTTATTTATATATATATATATATATTGCTGGGGAGAAGGGTTAGGGTTTGAGTTGTTTCACATACATGATGATGATGGATGATCACTCGAATCATCAGAGGCGAAACGGTTTGCTGTTGCCGGAGACCTGTTCGCACTTGACGGAGTTCCAACATCAATCAACATTCGTACATCATCACCAATATATTCGAACATCATCAATAGATTGATATATACGTAGATATACCAATAGATTCATATATTTATTTATATATATATATATATATTGCTGGGGAGAAGGGTTAGGGTTTGAGTTGTTTCACATACATGATGATGATGGATGATCACTCGAATCATCAGAGGCGAAACGGTTTGCTGTTGCCGGAGACCTGTTCGCACTTGACGGAGTTCCAACATCAATCAACATTCGTACATCATCACCAATATATTCGAACATCATCAATAGATTGATACATACATACACCAATAGATTCATATATTTATTGGTATATCTATGTATATTATGAAGGGTACTGTGTGCTGGGTTTTGTTCTTGGTGACTGGGACGGCTTTGATGTTTCTTTGTCTCTCCAGAGAAAGAAACACCTCCTCTGTTCCTGGTAAACTTCTATGTTCTTTTAAACATTTGGAGAGATTTAGACATTAGACAAATTATGGTACTTATTATGTTTGAATCAGTATTTTGACAGTTAAATTAAGGGCAGTTACACAACGTCGGGTACGCAGATTGGGATCCAAAACCCAGATCATCGCCGCTCAAAAAACCCCAATCTGGGACGACTCTGTCGACCGACTATCCCTATCCTTCGACGGCGAACCGGTCCTCCTCTCTGCCATCTCCGGCGCCACCTGTCGGCCCGCCGCCGTCTTCGGTGTCTCCATTACCAGATCTGATGTTCAACTGCGATCCGATCTGATGTTTAATGAATATGGTGTTTGAAACATATGAACACCAACCCAAAATTATTGAATCTTATGTTTACCATTTTGGGTTGGTGTTACATTAGGTTAATGAATATGATGATTGAAATCTGATGTTTAAATGAATCTGATTTTTTGGTGTTTATGTTTAAATGAATCTGATGTGTAATTTTTCACGATGTTTTGTTTATGATGTTCTAACATTGGTGTTCCATGTTACGGAATAATGAGCACAGTGCGAAATCGAAATCGATCATTCCGTAACTGTGTACGCGATGTAGTTGATGTTCATGTTGATTATGTTCACAATGTTTGATGATGTTTGATGAATAATCCTAATGTTTAATGGTTGATGTTTAATGAATAATCTTGACGTTGCTAATGTTTGATGTTAGATAAATAATTCTAACGTTTTCAATGTTTTCATCGATATTATACGAATAATTCTGACGTTGCTAATGTTTGATGTTTGATAAATAATCCTGACGTTGCTAATGTTTGATATTTGATGAATAATGTTTGATGTTTGAAAAGATAGGAAATCATAAAAAGGCCTATAGTAAGTTTCTTGGGAAATAGGACCTATTAGTCTAACAAAAAACATTTGGGACTAAATGGATTAACATTTCTAAATTTGGGATTTATTGGTGCTTTCCCCATGTTTTTTATCAGAATTTTTTATTTAATAGAATTAACTCAAAAAATGAAATTCATAATTATTCTCCCATAGAATAATAAAATTACTTAAATTATTAATTGAAATATATTTCTAATATCATTAAAAACTGTTAATTAACTTGATGATTTATTATTAAAAGAGTAATTTGTTATGAAATAAGAAACCTCAAGGGGTGGAATGTAATTTCCAGAACCACAAAGAGCGATTCATATTTTAATCAAATCACAAGAAATGTATTTATAATTTATCCAAATTATTAATGAGTCCTAATAGTTGGACTTAATTCTTTTTAAGTCCTATTGAAAGTTAGTCTTCCTAAAATCGTCACTAAAAATAATTTTTTATAAATATTTTTTGCATGTCACTAAAAATTGATAATTGATAATTTTTTTGTTGCGATTTTTATAAATTGTCACTAAAACTTACAATTAGTAATGTTTTTCTGGGACTAATTTTTCAAATTGTCGCTAAGAATTAAAAACTATGGACTTTTTTTGTAATAATTTTTTTAAACTGTCGCTAAAATTTATAATTAGTGACGTTTTTTGTAACAATTTTCAAATTGTCACTAAAAATTAACTATTAGTGACGTTTTTAATAGTATGTAATGAAAATGTCATTAATTATCACATGACATATTAGACAATAAATTCACCTAATAGAACCTACACATAAATTTATTAGACCATCGGTTGATTAGAAAAATGAAAGTCAAATTAGTAGTGAAATATACACATCATTTATAGAAAAATAATGCAAGAACTATTTATTTCATAACTAACAATATATCGTATTGTTATTTATCTTATTCAGCCCGTCTAAACAATCGACCCTTAAGTCTACAGTTTTTTACAAAGAAATGAAGAGAGAGATCATATTCTTGCTTGCAATTTAGAAAAAGTGGAGAGAACAAATTCTTGCTTTGAATTTGGCTTAGAAAGAGAACAAATTCTTGCATGGGGAAAGGTTTGATGCCACAACCCCTTTTCTTCGGGTGATTCTATCTTTTCCCCCACCAACGGGAAATTATTCAATATTCTCAAAATATCACGTGGTCATACTTTAAACCAATCATCAATTACTTAGTCTCATATTATTCTCTCATTTCCAACATGAATTGTGAGCCCTTACGCCTCTCTACCAATCAAAACCTTATAAAGCACCACGTGTCTATATTCCAGGAGTACTAAATAATCAACCCCCATCAACACCCTTGTCAAACACAAATTTTTTTTTTTTTTTTTCCCTAAAGATAGAACAATTCTTGCATTCAACTTTAGAAAGAGGAGAACAAATTCTTGCATTCTTGCAAACGAAAAGTTTCCATGCCACAACCCCTTTTTTTAGGTGGTTCTATTGTTTTTCACCAAAATTCGTATGTCATCCACACACTAGAAAATATACATATATATATATATATATATATATATATTTTCCGCCGCAAGGACCGCCGCAGAGAAATACGGCAGAGGATCCGGACTCTGCTAATAAGAGCCTCCTCACTTGCTGAAGGTAATAATTTTCATCTAAAAACAGGACAAGTACTAGCCCTTGGATCTTTACATTTTACATCCTACGGCTAGCACACATACACTATCTGAATTAACAAACATTTAACACTGAGACCTCATTTGGAACCCAGTTTATAAGTTGTTTATTAATTTATTTGGATCACATCACCTCTCTATTATTTTGTACATCTTTTTGTAATAAGCAAAAAAATCAGCTCACAAGTTATACCCAAAACAATCCTAAGGAGGTTGGTGTATTGGGTTGAGTTGGCAGTCTTTCATTGCCATTTTAGGTGGATTGAGAAAATTAATATACATCCATCCACTTAGTTAACGGATGAATATTGAGTGAATCATGCAAGTTGACAAATGGATGCAAATCAGTTTGACGATTTTAGTTTTACTATTTCAGGCATTTTTTTTGAATTATTTTTCAGTAATTATTTACTATTTTGAATCCAAATTTTTTTATTCATAATTGTTTATAATAAAAATAAAGACCCAACTTTCTTATTTCATAAATAGCAAATATATTTACTAAATAGAAGGTTCTTTTTTTAACACACAATGCATAAAAACACATTTTCTTTGAGGTATTGGCGAATCGGGTTGGATCGAGTAGCCTCCTATCTATATTGACATGGTGTCAATGAAAGATATTTATAAAAAAAAAGAAAAATATTAATAATTAAAATTATAAATTTTTTATTTTCTTATAAACAATTTTTTGTTGTTCCACTGATATGTTGTTATTACCCTTAAAATTTTCTATAAAATTTATCAAGTTTTTCATTTTAGGAATTATTTTTTCACAAAATTACTCCGACAATACTCCTTTCTTCGTAAGTTTAAAATATTCAATCATTATTAATGAAAATTAAAAAAACAAAAAACAAAAAACAAGAGAAGATATCGATCCAAACAAAAAGAATCACATTGACATGACAGGATCAATACAATAATAAACGAACAATTATTCATTGCCTACAAATCAATATGACCCATTCATTGCATGAGTTTCCCACATGGATCCGCATAATAAATTATTCAAATTGATTTGAAACATTATCACATGAGATGTTGAATAATTTTTCATAATAAAAACAAGGGAAAATCGGTCTAAAGTCCCTATCCAACTTTTAGTAATAGATTAGGTCCACAATCTGTTCTTTTGTAGTCTAAGGTCCCTCACCCCATTCCCACTCCTAAACTCACCCATCTCACACCACTCTCACCACCACCACCACCATCGCTGGAATCTGACCCATCAGGAGGACACAACAACTCGAACAGCGAGCTATCACCGAGGGAGCAAGACAGGTTCCTTCCGATCGCGAACGTGAGTCGAATCATGAAAAAGGCTTTACCGGCGAACGCCAAGATCTCCAAGGACGCCAAGGAAACAGTTCAAGAGTGCATTTCAGAGTTCATCAGCTTCATCACCGGCGACGATTTGCTCTGGGCCATGACGCCACTAGGGTTTGAAGAATACGTCGAGCCATTGAAGGTGTACTTACTGAGGTTCAGAGATATGGAAGGAGAGATATGTTGTGTCCTGTTTGGTAATTGATTTATGTGCATTTAAAAAAAATTTATGAAAAAATTTGTTGCAGTTTTAACAAGTCGAAGATGAGTTGAGTATGAATAATTTGATTTTTTTAAAAGTATACACACAAACTAGTTCTTACAAAATTCTCTAGTTTGGTTGGACTGAATTTTCTCTAGGTTGTTGGACTGAATTTTCTCTAGGTTAAACCCAGAGAAATTTGAATTTTCTCTGGGTTAGATGTGTATATAAGAACCAGTTTGTGAATGTTCATTCATTGACCAACAAAAAGAGCTTGGAATAAACATGAGAAATATAGAAGGCCAAGTCAAACTTGGTGTAAACTGGTTGTTGATTGATATGCAGTTGGTTTTGCAGATTTGGCCAATTCTGCAGACTAATACGAGTTGAGCAGAGTATGAGTAAAAGCAATAGAAGAACCCAAAAAATTTGGAACAAAGCTACGATTAGAATTGGAAATTGGTTGTGCTATGTTAGGAACAGGTACTGGCATTCTGGTTATAAATGACGAGTTTGCAAGCTTGGAAACTGATATGTTAGACACACATGATGACTTTATTTCTTCTAATGAATCAGAAATAAAAGAATGGGATTTTCCTGAAGAGGAACTAGAATCTAATGATTTTGGGAAGTCGCAATTTATCATGAATATCAACAGAAATAGAAGCTATGGCAACAGCAGCTATTGCATCTGGTCATGCCCGGAGAAATTCTTTGGGTTGAGAGAATTTCTCTGGCTGGGAATTTTCTCTGGATTGTGGAGTCCAGAGAAATTCTCTAGGTGGGAGAATCTCTGGAAATGTATGTCTGAGAATTTCTTTGGGTTTGGAGAGTCCAGAGAAACAGAATCCCTTTTCTTTCCCTCCCCTCCTCACAGCAGCTTCCTCCATACCTTCTCCCTTTCCTTCCCTTTTCTCCCCTTCCACCTAATTGGCAGTCATAGTTATATATATATATATATATATATTCACAATTCCCAGAGAAATTTGAATTTTCTTTGGGTTGAATCCAGAGAAATTCAGAATTTCTTTGGATGAAATTTCTCCGGATCAATTTTCTCTAGACCAATTTTTTCTGGACTAATTTTCTTTGGACCAATTTTCTCTGGATCAACCTGAGGGACCTTAGACATTATGAAAATATTTGGTGTCCTTTATGCTAGAAAATGTTAATACCAGGGACCTTAAAAAAAAAAAACCCTAAAAACAAAACAAAATAAAATAAAAAATAAAAAAGAGAGAAAATTAAATTATTTTACAGAAGTTCGTGTATCAATTTGCGACTCTTGCAATAATCACACATGTTTTTCTTGAAAGCGATATATGTCAAGTATTGTGAAAAAATATCATGAAAAACCTTCATAAAAAAAAATTATCCTTAGATTAATTTGTAATATTTTATTGTAAATAAAAAATTTTATAATATTTATTTCCTAATACCTAAGATTACTCTTCATAAAATACCTATCAAATTGTTATTGTGGTTGGACACGATGTGGAAAACTAGATCTAGAAAATGTAACTAAAAGTTTTTTTTAAAAAAAAAGAAAAAGAAAAAGAAAATTGTTTATAATACA